TGTTGAATCCTAGCTTCACGATTATGCTTAGTCGAGCCAACGTAGTAGCTAATTACTGCATGTAGTCTGGTCTCTTGTTTCTACTGCTGCTTGTAGAAGTTTGAATGCGCGCAGCTAGTAGAGTGAAAACATGTTTGGGATGTCATAATTCACCTCTTGCTGTTTGTCTTGAACTCCACATTCAGAATTGGGAACACCTCTATTTTCTTGGCTAAATTCTGGACTCTGTTCTTGATCAAATGAATACTGCATTTTTTTGGGATTTAGTTTAGTAGAGTGAAAATTATTAGGGAACTCACCAAGAGCATCAATTGTAACTTTAGCTTCTTTAATCAGTGAATCAATAGCCTTACATGGACGGTCATACCCAAGCCTATCTTGCACATCATAGAACTGAATTGCAGTGTTTGGTGAAAGCCTAACTCGTCGATCCTTCGGACCTTTTGCAGTTGAAACGTTACTGTGTCTGTATTTCCTTCCTGTGGCTCGAATAATTCGGCCTCCATGGCCTTCTATAACATCTGTTTTAGCTCTCTTTGGCTTCAATCTTCTTGTCCCTTTGTTCAATTCTTGTCCGCTTACTGTGAAATTAGCCCATTTTTCTGGGTTTTCGCAGACTGACTGTGGCATCTGCTGGTTTTGGTAGTGACTTTGAAGGTTTCCAATGTCATTTTCTTGAAAAACTTCCTCTTCCTCCTCCTCTTCTTCTTCTGATCCATCTTCTTCATCTGATACTTGACACTGATGATTCATTGGAGGATTCAGATTGGAAGTAATTTATTCTCTCTTCCACCTTTTATCTTTTTAGTGTTGGAAACTTGATTTGCATGTACTTGATTTCCAAGTTTTAGGGTTGAACAATTCTAAAAGCTAATGCTTGCAGGTTGTAACTACATGTATACTTGTTATTTCCAAAATTTGAGGTTTCCTAAATAATTTATATTTTTTTCTGATTGTATGTAGGTGACGAAATCGAAGAAGGCAATGAAAGCAATAGTGAAGACTTGACATAGGAGCTGAAGTATATATTGATGTAAACTTTATTGATGTTCTAGAAATCATATATTTTTTAAGATTGAAAATTATATGGCATGTGTTTCACCTTTTTTGAATGCTTTAAAACGATTTGTACATTTTGCTTTAATTGATATTAGAATCACGGATCTTGAATTCTAATTATGGTAATGAACATTTATTCTCGTTAACGATTTATGTGTATTTTTATGTTATAAAATTTATTCTCATGGATGATTTAGTATATAGCAGGTATATAGAGCTTACTAATAATGCATTAGAATTGTTGCAAATATGAGGCAATAACCGTTGCAATAGGCATTAAGCAATAGTTCTACAATTGTTTAAAAGTGTTGCAATATCCCTATAACAACCGTCGCAATTGAGTGAAATGGTGTGTTGAATCGAAAAAAACTATAGCCATAGCCTTAACAGAACTGATGCATAAACCTCTATTACGACGGTTAAAAACTGTACCAATACATACAACCGTTGGCAATTAATTCAAATGATAACCGTGGCAATAGGTCAATGTATGGCTACGGTTATATGAATTGTCGCATAGAACCGTAGCAACAGCTCTATTGCTACACGATCTGTTGTAGCGGTTGGTGTAACCGTAGCCTTAGACCTATGAATAGTTTCCTGCTCCAATACCTACACGTTGTAGAACTTCTCCAACACTAGAATGTATATCCCACATGAAGAGAATACACATTAACTAACATAGACCACACTAGCTATGGTTGGAATTAGAAGTCTACCCTATTCCGATGAAGGTGTTGTACTTGCCAAGGGTAGAACTAGGACACATCCCATGTTTAAACTGTAATGACCTATTTAGTCATTTTGAGCAACAGACTTCAATTCAGGAAAAACTGGCAGATGCGACGGACCCCACGAAGGACCGTCAAGGGCACGACGAACCGTCGCTGGGTCTCGTTTCAAAACACTTAGAAAATCTGAAATTGGGTATTGAAAACCGACTCTCTGAACTTTGTAACGGAGTGGCAGGATTGACCTTCACAGGTGTGACGGACTGTCACAGGCCATTCACCCAAAATCAAGTCTTTGAACTCTGTGACGGGCAGCAGGACGGACTGTCGCAAGTGCGATGGGCCGTCACAGACTGCGAAATCCTAGTCTGGTCGGATTTCTGGTTAAGTTTTAGGGACGTTTTTGACTATTCTGGCCTTAATTATAAAGTTCGTGGGTTTATATTAATAACTAAAATTCTTGGGGTTAAAAGAGGTAACCCTAAGTTTATTAGTGGGTATTATTGCCATCTTTTATTCTTAATTATATACTAATTAGGGTAAAAGAAATAAGGTTTGAATAAGAAATAGAAAGAATAAGAAGGGAGAGAGAGAAACGATCGAGAAGAAGAGGAAAACACCAAGCTTTGGGAAAATTCTTGCTTTATTCAATTCTTCGGTGGAGGTAGGTTATGG